AGAATATTTTTAGTTGCTCTGATTAAAAATTTACCTCTTAAGTACACTGAGGACACAGTGCATGTCTTGATTACAATTTTGTAAAACTCTTTCAGTCTACCTGTGTATCTTCCTTGCAAAGGAAGATGTGGAACCATATCTTTCCTTATTTTCCTTTTCTTTCTAACAAAACGGAAATATTAATAACTAACTTTGAAAGAGCAATAGGAAAATAACCTCACAGCAAAATGCAGAAAACACATTTTCAGAATGAAGATGTGAGGCCATCATATCATGGGATTACACAAGATACCTTACACAAGAGAAACATGGCATGCTAAACTGAAAAACACATTTGCAGGTATTTCCCAAAGCAAACAACCTCAGCATTTCTGTATTATGTCTTTGGTGCTGCATTTTAGGGGACAAATTCTCACCCCTGGACCTTGCAGGTATTTCCCAAAGCAAAGACAAACAACCTCAGCATTTCTGTATTCTGTCTTTGGTGCTGCATTTTAGGGGACAAATTCTCACCCCTGGACTCTTATCTCTCTCTGTCCTCTTCATCAGAGACAACGTGGGTCACAAATACCTTTGTGCCACTTCTATCACATATTCTGCCATGTATGATTTACTTGGTCCAGATATGCTTGAATTACCATTCCTGAAATTCTGCATGTGTGCAGCCACAGTACTTATCTAAATGTTACCAAAACATAAAACTGTATGAATGAAGTAATGTAAATCCCTCTTCCTGGGATTCTCTGCATTGATCTGCTTATTCATAGCAGGCAGACACCTTTCTACCTTTTGACTGCCATTCAGCCATCCTTTCTTTTTTGAAATCTGTGAAATCTGTTTCCTATCCAAAACTGGAGAAGTCTTGACTACTGAAAAAGAGATTACTTTCTGATTTAATTTCAGAAGGTCATTCATATTGATTAGGCAGCTTAGACAAGTTGAGTAGTAGCAGGTGTAAACTTAAAGATATGGACGATAAAACAGCCATTGCAAAAAGTAAGGGAAACACCCCTTTCTTTTCTTCTTTTAGTATCAATATAGTAAAAAACATTACTCTTTTTTTTTTTCCCCAAATGTTTGTTCACTAAAATGTTCCAAGGGGGAAAATGTCAGCTACAAATCCTCACTCATTGTATATTTGCACAGCAATGCTTAAAGGTCCTTAAAGATCTCCAAGGATTTGAAAGAAATAATTCAGTCAGGTAGCAAAAACAGTGCCACTGCCTTCCGGTGGCTGGTTACACAGCTCATGGGGCATCTGACAACTCCAGGCAAGTAACAGTGAACTCACTTCACACATCATGCATAGGGAAATATATTCCATCATGCAAATGTATGAAAGTCTAACTGTTTGAAGCTAAAGCATCAAGCAAAAATAGCTGCAATACACAGGATGGACTGTGGAAAACGTTTTGCTCACTGCAAAGAGACACATCTCTGCTTTTCTTACAGATGGCCTGCTCCTGTTCTTGCCAAAACCACCACAGTTTCACTCAGTTTCCTTGGCACTTAGAAAAGTCACAACTTTTCCCTCACATATGCTGGCTGATTCTTAATATACCTGAGTAACAGGTGTGTTAGAGCCATGTTTTGCATTATTCATCTTGGATGAAGTTAAACCCTGACTGTGTGACATTACTCAGTTTACCTCAGTGCTGTGTTTTGATTTTGCTCAGCTAAGTTTACCTAAGACACGTTTAGGCTGGAACAGTTCTTAATTACTCCAGCACAGAAACTTGGCATTCTTCTAAACTTGTGCTTTTCAGCAATGAGACTCCTTTCTGCTTATCTTTAAATTGCCTGTGCTTCCCTTAAAGTTGTCTCAATATTATTACCTTACAAAGCATGTAATCAAGATTTACTTGATTTCAGCAACCTCTTCCTTGCTTAAACAGTTACTTGTCCCATGCTTTTTCCTGCCCCCACTTTCCTTTACCCTGTAGAGTAATACATTTTCACTGCTAATACACACCATAACTGCAATGTACTGCAGAATGGGTATCAGTCCAAAGCCCAGTGAAATACTGAAAGGTTTCTGAACCACAGAAAAGGCAACTACACAGCATTACACAGGCAGCCTCTATAAAGAATTTTAATTTAAAGACCTCTTTTTCTGTTATAAATTAGTTTTATTTGTATAACATTTTCTATTTTCAGATCTTTATAGTCCAATAACTAAGAAAAGCAGTTTAAGAAGGAAAATAAGACTACCAAATGTCCTAATTCCTCATGAAACTGGTGTTCTTAAAGGATTTTAAAAATCTGAATTTTAAATTCTATTAGTGATTAAATACAAGCATGAACTTAATAGGCTGCTTCTAAGTAACTAACATTCAAAACAGCAGCACTACAGTTTTTCCAGTCCTAGACACTTTTCTCCCAGCCTCCACAGCAGATTCACTAAAAATTCAAGATAATGGTTACAACTACCTAGATCTGTAACATACAGATCCATAGCAACGCTGAGGATCTCTTATGTTAATTTCTGTGCCCAGAGGCTTTTCTGCAACACTGAATAAAAGAAGCCACTGTATCATTCCCATAACAAGATGATTATCTAGGAATTAAGACTAAGTAGAAAACTCTTTTCAAAACGTCAGTCTTCCAAGGCCTTTAAAAATCAAAGAAAATTGCTTATGTGGCTTATATCATCAGTTCTCAAAAGTCACATATCTGCACACATCCTGTTGTAAGAAGAAAGGGTAAAGTAACCATTATGTTTTAGTGTTCATTTATGATTCCTTGTTAGTGCAGTAGATAATCTCCGTGGAATTACTGATTTTTAACGGGACATTTGAAAATACTTCTTTTACTGTTGTTGCAGGTGAAAAAAACAAGAGGACTACAACATCACTTACCAACAATCCATTAGTGTAACCTCTCAAATTCTTCAGATGTAAAGGTGAGAAATTTTTCCTCCTTATAGGGTCAAAACATATTTGGATGTCTGCTGAGTGAAGTTTAAATGGTTTAGAGAACAAAACTAGTAAAGGTCCTAAATCTGTGTGACAATTGTCTGTGAGCAATCAACCTTCCCATTTATTTGCAGAAGTCACAGAGGGAACCAGAGGTGTATTCCTTGAGGAGGAACAACTGTCATCCCTGGAATATATTCTGGATGAGTCAAAGCATATCAAAGGAGAAAACATACACAGTAGGAAACCAGAGTAGTGAATCCTGTCCCTACCTCACCACTCTACTAGTATGGAAGACAATGCTCTCAGCAAAGAAGAGAAGCATAAGCTGTGAGTTGAGCCATGGCCGATGCAGTGCTGCTGGCAGGCTGTCACAGCATGTGCGGATTTCCCCAGTAAGATGCTGAGAGTAATCACAGAATAATACTGCCACTGTTTGAGGAAGGAGGGAACAAGATTTCTCTAAACTTCCAGACTCGGAAGATCTGCTTGCACTACACGTAGGGTTTTCCCCTAGCAGATGATGGAACAATGAAGATAATTGCCAGTTTGGTATCACTGAGGAGAACGTAGACAAAAAGTGGCAATGAGCACTGAGGTGTTACACATACAATAAACTTCTGGCATGAATGAATGGAAGGACCAGTTCCAGAATGGGGTTCCACAACAGTACAATCAACATTTTTCAGTTTTTACCAAAAAATGTTGATTGTACTGTATCAGAACCATCATGATAGAAGACAGCAGGATCTGTGTGCAGAGCCTTCAATGTCTACGTACTTGTGCTGAAACTATGGTGCACTCCAAGTGACAGTAAGAAGTTATCCTGCAATAAACTTGCTTCTCAATTTCCCTGAAAGATATACTCTGTTCTTTACAATGAAAAGTACTCATTCTTATCCTAACCTGTATTTGTCTTCTGCACACACCATCTTGAGTAAGATCTTTTTGCATGATTTGCATGTGAGAAAGACTCAAGAATTAATGACTCAAAGCTTTAAGATGCCCACACAAATTCCACTTCCATTTCTGTTTCTTTACACAGCACAAACAGTATCATATAACACTACACAAAAAGGGTAAAAAGGAAAAAAACCCTCAAAAAATAAAAATCCACTGAAACGCCATGAAAACTAGGCTATAGAATAATCTATTCATCTGGCCTGCATCACATATCAAATTCAAAGGAACAACAGAGTTAAATACCTGGATGCAGAAAGCAGAAAATAAAAATATCTATAGGTGTTGGAGAACAACATGAAGTATTTTCCTGATATCTTCAAAAAAGGTTTATTATCTTCCTTCCTACAGCACTTTAAAAAGTCTCAAGACAAATTATTTTAAACCTTAGTTTTAGAAAGCTAGATAGCCAGCAGCTTTTCTACTTCTTGATTTGGAAACAGCAAATTGAAAAACAGTACATATGTAATAGCTGATATTTCTCTGCTTTTGAGGCAACTGTTATTACCAGTTGGACAAATACCCTGTGCACTCCCTGGTCATGTCAGTGCTGCAATACCCATATGGTGTTCTGAAACCTGAGAGATTGTTCAACAGCATATAAATAAGTGTCAGAAAGAAATGAACAAGGTCTTTCTTTTTTTTTCCTCCCAGTTGAACACCAACAATAGCATTCTGCAACAAACCATTATTAGCACTGACATCATAGTAAAGGTCTACTAGTGTGTCAGGACTAGAAGAAGAGAGGAAGAGAATAAGGAAACAAATTTCATTCACTTAGCAAAGAGCAGGACTAGAATGTCAGACACGCTACGGATAGGAGTGTCACGCACTGCCAGATGTATTGAGGAAGGCAGTTGTTCACTGTTGCTGCCAAAACCTGAGCACAAAGCATTGGGGTAGTCTGAATACCACAAGCTCAGTACTAGTGGAAAACTGCAAAATTGGTAGTATTTCTTTTAAGTAAAAAGTATTTATTTTTTTTGCTGCAGGAAAGTTTTGGAGCTAAAAAATGAAATGCGCAAGTATTGAAAGAATCAAGAACTTCTTGGTATACAGAACTAAAATATTCACAAAATATTTAAATTATAACCACACAAAAAAGGTGTTAAAATTTTCACTTACTTTGGATGGGCAAATTCATCCAGTAGGACAACCTTTTCAATCAAGTCTCCACCAATGGTTCGAACCAAATCATAGAAATCATTCTGAGAGTAGGTCTCAGAAGGCAGCCAGAAGGAAATGTCATTGATCAAAGGCGGATATCGGCTGAGTGGCTAAAAGAAATTTAAAAACATACTTTTATACATGGTTGAACTTGATAATTATATCTACAACTGTTCTGAATTTACACAACACACAAAGTACAGAGTTTAGAGGCTTTTTGAAATGGTCTTTGAAGGGCAAACTGACCTCATAAACAACTGAGACGTAAGATTTTATACTAGGAAACATCTTTTAAAGATCTCCTCATAACAACTTTGGTTTATTCATTCATTCATAACAAAAATCTTGATTTTGTTTGCTAAAATCAGAGTTTATGACCCTGAACACACTTTTGCAACAGATCTGCTGAGAAGGAAGAAATAATGTCAAGTAGTTTTTCACTGGTAGAATTGTATTTTTTAAAAGCATTTTCCAGACTTTTTGCAGATTCAAAACTTCTTGTCACATTCAGGTATAAAACCTATATGCATTTTATAGGATTCTTATATTACACAACGTATCTATTATTTTTACTGTCAAATTTTTAACAAAGTCTTATAAATAGGCACCTTCTTATTAAAATGTTTTAATAAGAAACACACTTAGGCTTAAAAGGAGGGATCAGTTCACTTTCTGGTGGCTTTTGTAGACATCCAAACATCTACAATAACACAAAAGGTATGGCTGTTAACATAGTTATTCGCTCCACAAGTACCACAACAGGCTTTTAAACACAAAGGGGAACTTTTGCTGCACACATAGAGTGGGCAGACAGTGTAACTTGTTATTTGTAAAAATGGGAAGAGAAAAAGAAATGAAAGCAGATAATTAACTTTTGAGTTTTGATGAAACTTCCCAGGACTCTGTGGGTTTCAGATCTCACCTTTGGTGAGACATTTCGCCCTTTGAAGAACAGAAAATGGTAACATTCTCCTTTCATGACCTCTAGGTCACACAGTATCTTACTTCTACCTTGCATTCATTCCCTGCAGTTGAAAAAAGTACTTTTGCACAAGATTGTTGGAGTCTGCAGGAGAAAACATCTATTTTATTTTCTTTATATGTACAAGAGATTCCATGTGTACACCTTGGTCTATACAATATAATATCTCACTCAAAAATGTATTTCATGGCTGGGAATGTTTTATGACAGAGCAATGGAAACTTAAGTGAGTACCTGCTAAAGCAATAAACCTGTTAATAAGGCAAGTTTACAGCATTCTGATTTACTCAAATACTGTTCTGTAAAGTGTAAACTAGTCAATAAATATCTGATAAGGAATACAGTGCAAATTTTAAATTAATAACGCCACCAGCAAATGAAATTGTGAATCGCAAATGATTATTGAACTTGTTAAAGGAATAAACTTGTCTAATGAATTCATATCCTGTACATCAAATTTAAAAAAGGAAACTTGCACAACAAATCCATTGCAAAAGAGCTTTTCATAAAGCACTAATTAATAAAATGCAAATGTCTCTGCTACACAAAAGTCACAGCTGCAAATGCTGGACATGCTCCTTGGACAACAACCTGATACATGTGCTAGTGCAAATAAAGTTATAATCCTGCAGTAGACCCCTATATTCTCACCTCATTCCTATCTACTACTTTATTTGTCACTGCTGTAGTTCAAGGAATATACTGAACACCCTTCAAAGCTTGGTGAGACTAATACAAAACCCACTGAACTCACAGTTCAAGACATTTAATCATTCAACCAGAAGATATGACTCATGAGCATTAGCATGATGAAGGCACCTGCTTTCATTCACACAGGTAGCTTTGGCAAGAAGTAATTGTCTTCACAGGGACTAGCATGGGGCTGTGTTTTGGTTTTGTGTTGAACACAGGGCTGGTAACATAGAGATGCTTTTGTTATTGCTGGGTGGTATTTGAACAGAGCCAAAACCTTTTCTGCTTTCTGTACTGCCACACTGGCAAGAAAGCTGGGAAATTTGGGAGGAGACACAGCTGGGACAGGTGACCCCAAGTGATCAAAGGGATATTCTAGACCATATGACATGCTGCTCAGTATATAAGGTGGGAAGAAGAAGAGGGAAAGGGGGATATGTGGAGTGATGGTGTTTGTTTTCCCAGGCAGTCATCACTTGTGATGGGGTCCTGCTCCCCTGGAGATGACCTGCCCATGGGAAGCAGGGAATTACAATTAATATATTGCAGCTTTTTCTCTCCGGTGTCACTAGCGTGGATACAGAATTGTTGTCATTTCATGTGTGTATGCGTGTGTGTGTTACAAAGACTGGAAGGACAAATGCTCTAAAACATAATATAAGCATAACTTTTTATTATTAGCTACTAACCTTTTCTCAGAGCTTTGTAATACAGAAAAATCTTTTATGGTAAAAGGCAAGGCAATAATCCCATATTATATTGTCCCTTCACCACCTGGCTGCAGTCAATATCATTGCAGTAAGTCTTATATCAACACTAAAGTTAGTATAAGGATAAAATTCCTGGTTCTCAAATGCATCGATCTGTTTGTTGTAGAGCTCCATGAGTCACATAATAGTTTATTAGCTACACCTAAAATGTGAATAGGCTTCTAAAGAGTCTCCAATTGGCAAGCCAAAATGAAGTTCCTAAATTTGTATTCAGGCACTCCAGCAAATACATACTGTGGTCCAACAAACTGCTTCACCATTCTTTGATCCTTTCTAAACTCTCCTGCTCTTTAAAAGCAGACTGGTCCAAAGTCCATTGACTGGTCCTTTTTCAAGTTCAAGGCAAATGCCAACCCTGGAGACTGTTTCGTTATGAATTTACAGACATTTCAAAGGCTCCTCTTGAGAGAAATGTATTCTTCCCACTATATCTTCTACTCTGCTGTCGCCTCCAGCCACCACTTCCAGCTACATTCTCATGGCTCAGGAGTCCTGCAGCACAATGCTTGGAGAAGCTACTAGGACACATCTGGTTCTGCAGGCTGGATGTTGGCTGAACCCCAGCACACTACCAGAGGCTGGAAGCCCTGCTGTTCCTGCTTCCATGCCCTGACCACCCCCTTAGGTTTTTGAAGAACTGAAAAGAGGTTTAGGAAATGGCAGAACTGATCCTACCAGTGGAGGCTGCTGCAGGGCACTGGCCAAGTGTCAGTAAGCACTGCTGATGCACAGACATCCCTGCACCCCTCCTTTTGGTTCCATCAAAGTTTTGGCACCACAGTGCTACTTTAAATGTTCTGTTCACTTTCTGTTTCAAACACTTCAGGGCACTATCATTGACATTTTTCAACAGCCCCAGAAAACAAATGTTTTCCCAGAAATTACACTATCTATAGGACTCCACTGAACCCATCTTGTAGGAAATATTGGACATAATGACATCACATTTTTCAATCACCCAAAGTGAAAGCATTTAGGAGTGCTGAATTACTATAATTTCTCTAAATAATAAAATGGAAGTTTATGGTGATCCACCCTCAATGATATATGTTTACTAGTCATTAATCAAAGTTCTTTCTCTGGCTAATAAATAACCCAAGTATTTTCTAAAACTGCAAGCTTTTCCCTCTCAGGATGCTAACTTTAGTACAGAAATGGGTAGTTGGGACACCAGCGCTATAACCTGCTCTGCTAGCCTGCCTTGCTTATGCCTACATGTGCCTGAGGAGCACCATTTTAGTGCACCACTAAAAACACAGGGCTCTTAGTCTTTCATATGGGTTGGTGATAGCTCAGGGCATTGCTCATCTCTGCCTCTCTGCTCAGCCTTTCTGTCTGAGATTACTGCTCCTCCAGCAGCTGATAAAACAAACATGTGCCTGTTCCTTCACCACTGCAGATCACAGCCTGCTGTAGCCAGCTGAAAATTGTCCCTCTGATTGGTTTATGTTAGTATGTGCGGGATGAAGAATTGCAGCAGCTCGAGTTACTGGGAGACAGCTCTCTTAAGCAGCAACAGGATCCATGAGAACTCATTTGCCAGCATAACATAGCAAATACATGGGCACTGTGTATGTTGCCACACCAGGGCACTACTGGAATCAAGTGGTCACCATAAGAGTGGTATCTGTTCATCCACACATGGCAGAGGATCATTAGCTGGATCCAGATACCTCACAGCTGTAAGGGAGAGAAACCTCCTTTCTGAGAGCAGAACCTCCCAAGCTGCAGTAAAAACAGCTGGCAATAATGCACAGCCAGTGCCAGTGAATAACCCACACAAGGCCATGAAGTGGCTTTAGCCCAGAGTCCCAAAAAATAGGATGGACACTAGCACTTTCCACAAATATTTGCCATTAGGAAAAAAAGCCACTTTTCCCCAGATGCAGTAACCATGGGTAAAACATGGCAAGGGGACAGGAGAAGTTTTGTGCTGTGGCTGCTCATTCCATTCCTTCCCTGCTGCCAGCTGCAGATGGGACAAAACAAAGGAGTGACACAGAGGAAAAAGCTGTACTTGTATTTTTACAGTGGTGACACAAATGCAAGGTTAATGACGACACGTACCAGAAACTGGGTTAGCAATTCCACAGCAGCCAGGCCATTAAAAAGTCAGCCATGCCTTACTGCCATCACCAGCCTAAGTCAGAAAAATATGAGACTTAGCAGCATCGTGGCTGCTAAGCTTTAACAGTCCTGCCTTGCTCATGTTTTGGAGAAATATCTACATAAACTATACAGTTTTAATGCAACATCATATTCTCATCAAAATGAAAACTACAGTCCTGTAATAACTGAGCCTTTCTTAATATATTCCATGGTGAAACTATATTAATTCAGTGTTATCATAGGAAATTTAAACACGTAACAGGCATGAAATTAAAATTTGCAAATTTACAGCAGTAACTTAACCCCCATGCACATAATGAAATTTCCTGTATTAGTGTGTATGCGTCTAGATTTACACTTCCGTATTTATGACCAGTGTAGACAAATTACAGTTGCTACAGGGAACATAACTTTGAATTTCCTGGCTACCATGGCTTAAAATTTAGTCATAATGTTCCCCATTATTAAAAGTTTTCTACCCTCCTTACCAAATTTATTTTTTCCTTAGATACATATAATAAGTTCTATATATTCACACATATACACACACACATAT